GAGAACGATTTCCGAATTGGAAATTGAAACGTCAATAAACGTATTTTTATCTTTAATTGTGGCTTATTCCCAGTTATAAATAGTAATTACTTTTATTTATTGTTCGTACACTTACATCCAGTATTTTTGTATTTTATTAGTTATATTGGAAAACGACAATAATTTAAAAAAGTACGTCACTTGTATGTAACTAATTCATAATAAACTTTAATTAAATGAAAGGCAGAGCACAGTTTATTAATTAAATCTTGCCCGAGTACTTTCGCTCCTAGAGCATTTTCAGGGGCATCTGAAATAATCCAAGAAACGTTTTTTTCAACTAAAGAAAAATATCATGAATGTGTTGCTTGTGTGAGTCCATTTCAAATAGGTAAAGAAATAATAAATAAGACTTACTTACAATCAATTTAATTTAACTATCTGACGACCGGTTTCGCTTTCTACAATATGCAAAGCATCCTCAGGTCTCGATACAAAGTTAAACAAATGATGCCGGTACTCTATTAATTGATGGATGGTAGAACATGGTTGAAACTACTATATATTGTTGAATGGAGAACTCAATTCTATTATTGCAGTTGTTTGACAGTAAACGGGAAGTTCTTAAGGAGATAGATTTGATCCAATGAAGAAGAGATATGTGTGTGATTGTTTGTTAAATGAAAGTAATGTAATATATCATTGTGTTATTAAGAGCTATTTATACTTATTCGAGAGATATATTTTTGAAATGTGTGTTATTTATTGAGTAATTGTTTTAAGAAGGTGACAGTTTTATGACAATGAATAAGTTTAGATGTAAAAATTGTGTGGGTGTGCAATTGTTTTCAAACCTGTAGTTATCAAATTACTTTGATAAAGTTCTATTGGCAATTAGTAAATTATTGGATAGTCAAGTGAATAAAATATTAAAATACAAACAATTAAGGACAATTTAAACACACTAAAACAGAAAACACTTAGAAGGGACGAAACAAACATTGAATTTAAAAAGGGGGGAAGAGCTTTAATGCACTACATCGTAGTCTTGGGCACAATGAGTTTTTTTTTATATATATTTTTTTTTATATAGATAAAACATGGCAGAAGTTTCAACCATGTTCTACCATCCATCAATTAATAGAGTACCGGCATCATTTGTTTAACTTTGTATCGAGACCTGAGGATGCTTTGCATATTGTAGAAAGCGAAACCGGTCGTCAGATAGTTAAATTAAATTGATTGTGAGTAAGTCTTATTTATTATTTCTTTACCTATTTTAAAGAAAAGTAATTAATTTCGCTAAAAATCTCGAAGTTGATGATTAACAAAAGTTTTTTATGTAATATAACGTTTTAGACTTACTTCGGACAAATTTAGCCTATCTAATAATCTAAAGAGAATGACATAAACATAAAGTCTCGCATACTAGATTGTTGGATAGGCCAAATTTAACGAAGTAAGTTTAAAACGTTATAATACATAAAACAACTTTTATCAACCATCAACTTCGAGTTTTTTATCAAAGTTAATTAATTTTCTTCGATGGAAAAAAGGGTTCCTTGACTTATTTCAGATGCCGCTGATGATGCTCTAAGAGCGAGAGTACTTTTATCTAGAGATAATACTTTTTTAATGAACAGAAAATCCTATAAACATTTTTCAATAAAATTTTTAAACAATTTCGTTTTCATAATTGATGATGTGTCGTTACTAAAACAATATGGTACTGAAAAGTACCATATTGCAATAAAATTATGCCGTCGTTTTCTTCCTCTTGGAGTCTTGATTGTTCTGTGGGGGGAAGCAAAACAGAGGCTACTGGTAATGTCTCTACGAAAATCCAACAAATTTTTTGGATGTGATTCTAATAATTTTTTAGCTGTAACGAACCTATTCGCAATATCTGCGAATTGATCTTTCATTTGATTTAAAGTTTATTTATTCAAGCATTTAATCTTATATCCAGTCTTATAGGCAAATAGTCAGTAACCCTCCAGTCTTAAAGGCAAAAAGGGAGATGAGTTCTGCAAGCTAATACGGCGAAGAATGTTAGTTTTGGTTAGTTTGATAACAACGTGATTTTTATTCATTAGTTTGTACAAGGGACCATTAGTTCTGCTCTTTTAAACTTTAAAAAATTGTGTATTTCAATGTGGAGAATACGAAACAACTAAAAATACGTTTTTTACAAAAAGTGGAGCATGTGACTTTTGCATCTATACCCCCTTCAAAGTATGTTATTATTATATATAGATATATATATATATATATATATATATATATATATATATATATATATATATACAAGGACAAAAATATCGAATATTTTGAAATTTTCGAAAATTTTTGAAACAATGTAATAAAAAATTTTAAAAATCAAGACTGATATTTTTTGTACACACTTATGACAAGTCGAAAGAAAATGCAAAAAAGTATTTTTGAAGTGTGTATATTTTAGGCAATTCCTGGCTGAGCGCTTTCGGCTTTACAAAGCCATCATCAGAGCTATGGTCAATTTTTTTAAATACCACTACAAAGGAGAGATCTCATTTCCTTATATTTCAAAATTATGATTTTTTTAGTTGTTGAAATTCTTAAAACATATAAAAAACATATAAAAAAAGCCGACACCCAAAAATATACACACTTCAAAAATACTTTTTTGCATTTTCTTTCGAAAAAATTTTAAGTTTTTATGCAAAAAAAAAATGCGGAAAAAATAAATGCTTAATAATAGATACATAAGATTATTTTACTTTAAACTTATACGCTAATTTAAATTGCTTAAACAAGTCTTTTTAACTGAAAAAAGTGCGTAATCAGTAACGAATATTCCCTCTCTAGCTCTTTATTACTGCCTGCATCCTTCTCGGCATGCTTACAAGTGAATTTTGGACATATCCCTGAGAAATGGCATTCCATTCAATCTGTTTAGCAAGCCGAAGCTGCTCTATCGTGTTTGTAACGTGATTTCTTTGTCGTATGCGGCGTTTAAGGTGATTCCACATGTGCACTATTGATTTAAATTCGGGCTAAAGGGTGGTCAAGGGTGGTAATTTCGACCTCATCAAGATAATTACTCACTATGGCAGCGGCATGTGATGTGATTATCGTGCATTAACATAAATCTTTCATATCCAATATAAACAACAGATGGCAAAACATGATCTCGCAGGATCTTTTAAACGCTAGAGTCACCAGTCATCCGACCAATCACTTCCACAAGTGCGATGCGTACCTCCCAACTAATACCTTCCCAAAGAGTTATCGTTCTAACACTCTTCTGTAGACGTGGTTTTGACCATCTGGCTTCTATAATAGGATTCTGGTCTCATCAGTAAAAAGAACATTTTTCAATTGTTGTCTATATTCCACTGAATATGTGTTCTTGCAAATTCTAAACGAGGGGCCTTATGATTTTGGAGAAGACGTGGCACTTTGGCAGGGTGTCTAGGCCTTAAGTTTGGTTCTTTTAGCCTTCGTCTAACTGTTTCTGAACTTACATTAACTTGTCTAACATTTAATAGGTCTTTTATGAGTTGCATCGATGTCAATGATGGTTCTTTATTCTACACGATTTTGTGTAGCGGCCATTATTTTTTTCGCGGTACCTTAATAAAGTATTCGAAACTGTAGATTAACTTCTTTGGAGACGTCTTACGATATCTTTTTGTGTATATCCTTCCTAGTACAAAATTACAATCTGTGCTACTTGGATTCCATCGCAGTGTCGAATTGGTGGCATATTTGTTTTAAACTTGTTAAATTAAAACAATATTTAACTAAACTTAATAAATTAAACTAAAAATAACCGAATTAATATAATTTTTCCTTTACGTGAAGAAGGTTTTTTATGATAAAATGTACAAATGACACTAAACGCTAAATAAACATAAATTTAAAGTGGTCATTGTAGCCCATACCTTATGGATATGAGGAATTCTACAAAAATTCGCACCTTAACTGGAGCCAAATATGGTGATATTGCAATTTGCTGCCCGTATTTCGCAGTAACATTTTTTTTTCTGTAGGTTGATACCAAAAAACATGTTTTCAGATGCGAGCCTCAATAAAAAAGGCAAATTTAAGTTTTTTCCAACAAAAAACTGATTTGTTCGCTAAAGCTATTTCATTCTTCTAGCGACCTGCCTCGAAAAACGAGTGAAAGAAACTTCTATACTTGGAGCACACGTACACATCAGATACCAATCGCTTCGTCTTGGCCCCCAGAAGGAACTCTGACCCTTTGAAGAGCCAAGAAATACCTGCTCAAAGCGTGGCAAGCGCTAAGTCACTAAAATCGACGTTTTTTTTTTTCATTTTTTCACGATTTTATTCGAAAATAGATTAAAAGAGACCTGATTAGTTAGAGCACACGTACATATCAGGTACCAATCGCTTCACCTTGGTCCCTAGAAGGAACTTTGACCCTTTGAAGAACCAAGAAACACCTGTTTAAAGCGTGGCAAGCGGTTATTCAGTCCCTAAAATCGAGGTTTTTTTCATTTCTTCGCGAAAAAAAATTTTATCTTTAATTGTGGCTTATTTCCAGTTAAATAGTAATTCATTTAAAATGCCACAAGAAATAGTTTCAGAAAACTAGAGGTATACCTATAGTTTAGATTGTAGATTGCAATGATATCCGTTAATTAGTCCTTAGACCTTATCTACTTTATCTTCCTCTTCTTTAAGTGTCGCCACTCAATCGGGGATCTTTACCATTGCTCTGAATAGTTTTATTAAATTGCTTTAAAACCAGTTTCTTAAATTTTTCAACCATAATTCTTTTCTTTTTCCTATACTACCTTCTCCTTTTATCCTTCCCTGTATTATCAATCTTAGCATTTCATATCGCTGTCCCCATCGCTGAAAATCTTGGTTTATTTATTTTAGTTGTCATAAAAAAACGTTTTGTGGAATGAAGTTAATTTAAAAAACATTTGAACAATTAAAGGTTTAACAAACGAAAATATATTATACTAACTAGTTTAAATAACACAAATCAATCTTACTTTCAGAAAATAGTTGTTTTGAATTATTTATTCCCAAGACAAATCTCCAGGAACCGCATTTAATTAATGTTAAGGTACAAGTTAAAACAAATGGATTCGTTTATTCCGCTCACAACTTAGATCCTATTCTAGCTTACCCTAATAAATGGACCAAAACTTTCATTGATACAGATAGAGAAGTATATAAGCCAGGTGATAAAATCAAGTTTAGAATATTGGTAGTAGATGACAAACTTTTACCCATTAATATAAAGGTTAGTATAATAATTTTAACAGTCCGTTTAGGTAGACAGCTGCTACTATGTATATTTAAATGATATTGACTTACATTTCCATTAATTCTCATAACTATTCCTTGTCTGTTTTGTATTATACGTTAAAATAATAAACTGATATCGAGATCTAAAAATATTTAAATAAGTCTTATTTTTTTTACGATAGATAGAATTCAAATAATACTTTCAGGTTCTCCTAGTCCAATGTTATGCTAATAATTTTGAGGTACAGGTTAATCAACTTTACTCCAGAGTTTGAAATTTTATATGGTTAAAAAGATACAAAGAAGTTATAATAAAGATACACAAAATGTGTACGTATATACTAAACTTATGAACACAATATTAAAATAAATAATGATAATGTCAACTTATATCAGCATATATCTAAATTATTTTTCTATTATAAAATAGATGACTCAGTCAGTATTGAGTTACTTTAAAATATATTTATTATCTCATAACTTGGAATTTGCAATCGTCACCATTGATAACCGATGTTACTGTCGAACTTTTGCTTTTATACAAGCCTTCTGTCTTGCCGGTGTAAAGTCGTCTGAAGTCGATATTTATTGTGTTTTGCGTTTGAACTAATTTATGTTTTATTTTTATATTATTATATTGTTTGGTAAGTGAATTTTGCATATAATAATCGTTGGGTTATAGTAATGTGTATATTTTTTATTTTACCAAATTTAAAAATAATGTACCGTTTTTAAATAAAACGAGCGGTTCGAATTTATATAAATATATTTATTTATAACTTTACAGTTCGATACTATCTTATCAACTAACTTAACTCCTAAGATCGTTACATATATATACCAAAGTTACTATTTTCTAGAAAGTTCCCACCTCTAGGCGTATACGTGACTGATCTTTCTCGAAATATCGAGACGCTTTCGAGATGCCGCCGCGCCGCATGGAAGCATGAGGTGCTGTTTCGAGATGCAACCGTTATACGTGCCTCGTTAAATGCACGTTCGTAACACTGCTCCCCTCTTAGATCTGAGCGTCCCGATCAGCAACTCTATGTGTAGGCCCAGGATGGCGGAATCTACAGGACTCTCCAGCTCTGCATGAACCCCTCAGAAAGAAATAACAGTCTACTGTCTTTGAAGGACACAATCTCTTTGGATTAGTGCAACACACGGTAATTCTTACACCGGTTTCTCGGAAGATCACTTCTAGCATGCTTCTGACAATCTTCCAATCCAGATTATCTAGTGCATGGCCTATCTTGGGTAAAGCCAAGTTCTTAATGTCGTAATTGCAGACGATTTTCTTCAAATTAGTTAGAGCACACCATATATCCTCGTAGGTTGCCCTGTCTGTATACGACTTCCTAGTCACCATATACAGCAAAGATCGAGAACCATCTTCTAATCTCAGCACTCTTCCAACTTTAGGCTGCTGGTTTTTTAACTCGTCCAAGCGACCAAATTTCTTATAAAATACGGATGAGATTCCTTTAGTCATCTCAAGATCTTGGGCAACGAAGTGGGCTAGAGAGACGTTATGTGGAACACTAAAAAGATCCTGCTGAACTTCTGTCGTCACGCCGAATCTAGCACTCGTTTTCTCTGCGTAATTTGACATAAATTCATTAAAGCTTGGTCGCCGATCATCTTTGATCTCATGTTGAAGGGTTCGGACTTCTTCGGTTTCATTTGAGCCAGCATAAGGTGCAAGACGATTTATGTGAACTACTTTTGGTTTACCTTTCGGCAACTTCTTAATTCGGTATATTACGTCATTTATTCTCTTTTTAATTTCATACGGACCCTCCCATTGTCTTTGCAGTTTAGGAGACAAGCCACGACGACGTTGGGGATTATAAAGCCAAACAAGATCACCTACTTCATAGCTTTCATTCTTGCATCGAGAATCGTATTGATCTTTCATTCTGTCACTGGCTAACTGGATGTGTTGTCGGGCAAGTTCATGGATGTTGTTCATTCTTAACTTAAGGCGGTCGACATAATCTTCGCTTGCAACATGTTCTTCGGAAGGTCTGCAGCCAAACTCTAGGTCGCAGGGCAAACGAACTTCACGACCTAACATCAGGCAGGTTGGAGTCTGGCCCGTAGTTTCATTCACAGCCGAGCGGTAGGCCATTAGGAATAAATGAATGTGCTGGTCCCAATCTCTTTGATGTTCTGATACAACTTTGGACAGGTGTTTACCCATCGTTCGGTTCATTTTCTCGACCATTCCATCTGATTGAGGATGAAGGGGTGTCGTTCTGGTCTTATTGACGCCAATCAATTTACAAACGTTTTGGAAAAGGTTTGACTCGAAGTTTCGCCCTTGGTCGGAGTGGATCTCCAAGGTAACACCAAATCGGCTAAAGAATTCTTTAACCAGTACCTCTGCAACGGTAGCAGCTTCTTGATTTGGTAGCGCATAGGCCTCAGTTCATTTCGTAAAATAATCCATGGCTACCAGGATATATTTATTTCCATCATTTGTCTCTGGAAGTGGACCTGCAATGTCGATTGCTACTCTTTCCATAGGACTACCAACATTGTACTGTTTCATGGGTGCCCTCTTTTTACCAACTGGACCATTACTAGTTGCACACAGTTCACATTTCCGGCACCATCTTCTTACATCATCTTTACAGTTCACCCAATAGAACCGTTCTCGAACCTTTTGCAGAGTCTTCGTAATACCAAAGTGTCCACCTGATGCACCGTCATGCAACTGACGCAATACTTCTGACACTTTACTTTTAGGTACAATCAACTGAAGCTTAGTTTCTGTACCATCATCGTTCTCAAAGGTTCTATACAGAAGATCATCTTTCAGCACTAGGCAATTCCATTGGCTCCAGTAACACTTGACTTCGGGACTACATGCACTAATGTCTTGCCAAGAAGGTATTTCACTTCGACGCATCCAATCCAATACTCTTTTTATACATGGATCATCTGCTTGAGCGTCTTGTAACTGTTGTGGTTGCCATTGATCATTAATGACGGTGGTTCGTCTCACGGGGCAAAGTCTTTCTTCTAATTCAAGACAATGATTACGATTTTCACCGTATGGCCGTCTTGATTGTACATCAGCATTTGAATGACTTTTTCCAGCCCAGTGCTCGATCTGTTCTAGCTTTCTGACTGTTGTTTTATTTTCTAGCACTTTATGGCGAATGTGACCTTCGTTGTTACCATTCGAACATCTGGGTTCACGTCTCTTCGGCATCATGTTACGAACTACTTTCCGTACGATTTCCTCCAGACGTTTATCGTTTCGTTCATCACTCTCTTCAGAGGTTCGTACTTGATAGCTCCGTGAAACTCGACTAGCTATCTCATGTTCCAAGGCAATGGCGAGCGCTTCATCTAAGACTTTCGGTTTTGCTAGTCGTAAAGCTTTCTGTAGTTCACTGTCTCTCAACCCATTGACGAAGGCATCTACAGCAATTTCTTCCAAAATATTGTCTGGTACATCCGGATAAACCAACCGCACTATACGAGCAACATCTGCTTCAAACTCTTGCAAATTTTCACTTGCTCGTTGAACTCTACTTCTTAGTTGCGCCTTGTAGACTTGTTGTAGATGGGCATCTCCGTAACGTTTGTCTAGTCGAGTAAACAAGGTCTGGTAACATTTTTCTTGACCCTTAGGAATCGATCTTAGGATATCTGCAGCATCACCTCGTAAAGCAGCAGTCAAGGAAACAGCTTTTTCTTGTTCTGTCCAATGATTGGCTGTCGCAATAGCTTCAAATTGTCTAAGGTATATAGACCAAGAGGACTTTCCATCAAATGGTGGTAATTTGAATCTCATATTATGTGTCATTTCGTCTCTAGATGATTCTTCTTTCACTACCGGATCTAAAGCTACCGTATTAATTGGTGGTAGCACTTTCGTGTTAGTTATCATGGTCTCTAGCTGTTTGATCTTTTTTTCTACTTTATCGAATGTTTTAGAAATTTCTTCAAATTTCTCATTGTTCTGATTACATATTTCTTTAATAATTTGTGAAGTCTCGTCGTTTTGTCTAGCTACTTCTTTAATAATTTGAGACGTTTCATTGAATCTTTCATCATTTTTTTTTTTTTGAAGTCTCCTCAATCATTTGCGAGACGTTCTCAAATTTACTATCATTTTGTTTCGAAGATTCTTCAATCATTTGTGAGACATTTTCAAATTTCTCATTTATTTTTGTTAAAACTGTTTCTTCTGATGATTGAAACTGGAATGTCTCTGGGTCATCTCCATTCTTGTTAAGAACATTCTTCAGTCGCTCCTGGAGAATCTTCTTGGACCCGCTGCAGTCTTCATCGCGTTCTTCTAATTGCTCACGCAACTGTTTTACCGAGAGTTGTACTAGCAGCATCTTTGTACAGGCACACACGTACTTTTATAAATGTTCTTTCGTACAAAGGTCACTACCGAACTACGCGGATGTTCCCGACGAACAATACTTTTCAAAAGTTTTAAAGTCTTTTTCAAAAGTCACTGCTGGATTTATGTTGAAACTCCACACCGGACACCAACTGTACCGTTTTTAAATAAAACGAGCGGTTCGAATTTATATAAATATATTTATTTATAACTTTACAGTTCGATACTATCTTATCAACTAACTTAACTCCTAAGATCGTTACAGATATATACCAAAGTTACTATTTTCTAGAAAGTTCCCACCTCTAGGCGTATACGTGACTGATCTTTCTCGAAATATCGAGTCGCTTTCGAGATGCCGCCGCGCCGCATGGAAGCATGAGGTGCTGTTTCGAGATGCAACCGTTATATACGTGCCTCGTTAAATGCACGTTCGTAACAATAATTAAATCTAAAATGCCATATTGAATTATAAATCAGACTTTTCTTTATTGTAATCTATTTTGTTTTTAGTTTAGTAAAACTGCTTGGAAATGAGTGACATAATAAGCAAATCTACTACAATTTACCTATACAAAAAGAGTGCGTATATTACTAAATATGTATGAAAACAAAAATAAATA